CTGATGGAACTCCTTAAACCACCACCACATCGTGGTTGACAGGAAAGAAGTCTGAGGGTAAGAACCAACATTCCATGCACCCTTGAGGTCAGTGTGAAATGTTCACAACATGCAACTTGACTACTTTATTAATTAAGAGTTTCATAATTTTATATTGAAAAACAAAAGGTAACAAGTAGAAAGGCTGAACAAAATAAACCTATAAAAGAATGGCTGGTAAATGCACAGAACCACTTAAAGTGGTGGCTTTCACTGTAAACCAGTGCCTTGGGTTGCTATGATCTGCAGCGACCATCTGCACCTCACCAGTGACAGCTCTACTTTCGTCTGTTTTATGTAATTTGAGTTTTGCCTAAAAATTTTTCTTTAAAAAGCCATATTGGGAAACATTGCTTTTGGATAATAGCATACAATTTCCATAGTTTGTGCTTTCAACGCCAGTTAGGCTTGAGAACATCAGAAGTCTACAGACCTGCCCCTAACACACACCTTTCATGGCAAACACTACGATTGCTGCTTTATAAATACACTGTGCATAGAAATAAAAGAGAAAGAAAGAGCTTAACAAAACAGCTCAATTTTCATTCCTATATTGGCACAATGGTTACTGCTTCTAAAGCTTGGGGCATTCACACCCGTGCTCACTTGCACTTGCCTGCTCACCTGAACACAAGCAACAAAGATAAACCCGAGTGAAAGAAAGGTTCAACCCGACAGCAGAGTCTGAAAGCATAAAGACAAGTCCTCCGGGTGCACCAGGTTACACTTCCTTTGATAATAACCCTGGCCAGGCAGAATCAGCTGATTCCTTCAACTTACTTATAGCCTCTGAAAGACATTCCAGGTGCTGTGAAGTGTCCAGCATCCCATTTCCTCAAGCAACTGATCCCTGTTCAATTTTCCTGATGAATGAGAGCCCCTGAAAAGCCACCTAGCACTCTAGAGAAACATTCACCAAAAGTAATTCTAAAAACGAAAACGTAGGTTAAGAATATAAAAGAGGATTAAGAATGGGAGCTAAAATGACTTGGGAAAAAACTGAATCCTCTGAAAAGTGGAGTGTTTCGTTCACCTTCATTAAAAGCTTTGTATCCCAGCTGAATAGCACCATCTCCATCAAGCTGATGGATCAATCACCAGCTCTCCAAAGGTTTGTTTGCCCAGTATGATTTATCATAAAGTCTGCAGACAGCCATGCCTCCTCCTCCCTAGAGAACTAGATTATGCTTGTTTACAAATGCTCACTTTTTCACTTGGACTCTACCCACTTCCACTCACTTATGGCACAATTCATCACCATGAATCTAGGAGAACACTATGATTAAAGGTCTGAGTGGTAGATTGTTTGGGTTCAATTTCGAATTCCCCAATTTACTAGGTGCATAATCTTAGGCAAATTACTGAATCTCTCTGTGTCTAAGTTTATTTGTAAAATGGAGATAATAAGAACAGTTATCACCACATGGAGTTGTTATTAAAACTAAATGAGATAATGCATGTAAAGAACTGACCAGAGTAGTCAGGGTAAGTGCTGAATAATGTTGGCTCATTATCATCAGCTACATATGGCAAAGCTAACTTCGCAATCCACGATGGTTTAAGAACTGAGAAATCTCTAAAAGATGCTAATGCATAATTGGTTTGACAGCACATCTGAGCTTCACTAGTAGTATTACATTGTTACTTAAGGTTTAAATGTTTAAAAAGTCTGAATTAGTACCACAGATATAAACAAGACAAAAATTTACATTTTTATTCTGGTTCAAGATTCAGAGTTCCAAAGGTACACTTTGTAAGTCCTTAAATTTAAAATTCTCAAACACCATAGAGAACCATGAATCACAATTTTGGAAGTAGGTCATCACAGAGAACGCCTTTCCAGGTGTTTGCTTCCAGATATTTGTGTTTTCCCAGAGAGCTGTACACTAGAAGCTCTGAACCACTTCACTGACTTCCCCTCACTCTCTCCTCTCTTTGTAAAGGTGGTGAAGGTGGTATTGCTCCCACAGGCTGGGATCCATGCTTGACATGAGCTCGGCTCCTTCCCAAACTACTTCACACCAGTTGTGCTCATTATACTCATATAACATATATGACTGCAATGACAGTGGCTTTGTTCTTACGAAAACTAAGAAGAATGCTTTAGAAAGACCCAATAAAAGGAAATCACTACAAATAAATCTGCTGCAGATTAGCTGTGGTCCAACCCGAAAGATTCTACACTGATTGTTCTGCAAACGTCTTTAAATTCTCTCCCTAATGGGAGGAGGAAAGAAAATACCAATTTGGGAAGGATGAATTATAGGTGTAGATTATGAAAGAAAGACATTTTGGTACTCCAATCGACATCCATACTTGAAGCAAAAGTCTT